CAGAAACTTATATTATGATTCATGACAGTAAGCAGAATTACAGTTCTGAAGTAGCAATGAAATAATTTTATGGTTAGGGGGGTCACCACAATGTGAGGAACTTTCGCAAAGGGTCACAGCAGTAGGAAGGTTGACAGCCTCGGCCTTAGAGCCTTCTATCCTGTTTCAGCAGAAAAAGCAGCCGGCTGTCTTGAGGCTTTCGCAGCTTGGCCTGCCTGAGGCTCACTTTCCTCCTCTTCTCCAGCCGCCGAGCGCTTGTCCACCCCATCATGTTTGCAGCTCAGTGTGCCTTCACCTCTGCTGACACTGCCACGCCACTGTCCCTGCTGTTTCTTTGTGTTAGTGTCTCAGCCCACTCAACTAGAAGCAGCCAGGAAAAGGGCCACTTAAGGGAAGCCTTTCATTGGGTCTAACATTGCAATACTAGGGAAGCAACACATGTCTCCCCACGGCTTTCCATGCAAGCTGAAAAACCTGCTTAGACAGTCATAGAACCGGTGTCTGCACCAATCACAGCCAGGAGTCCATGTGGGGTTTTGTGTGTTTGTTATGTTTATTTGTTTTTCTTGAGGTCACAACGTTAGCAATCTTAAGGAAGGTACTGAAGGACCTTGAGTGTCATTCCTTTCTGTTCAGTGACACTGAATTATACAGGATGCCTGGAAAAAGATAGATACATAAACTGATATAGCTACTTTAGAAACAGGTTAGTGGAGTTTTGAAAACTTGAACATTTTGTGAACCATCACATCTGAAGTTTGTGCCCAAGACAAATATCAACCTATCTCCTAAAACCAAGACATGCACTATTACTCATAATGGTTGTCTTTACAATAGCACAAAACATGGAGGCATTTCAGATATTCACTAATTATTGAATAGCCATGCAATAGAATATAATTCGGTAATGAATAAAGGCAAGTATTGCCTACATCCACCATACCAGGCTTCTCCCTTTTGGGCCACCAACCAGTTCCTATGATGTGGAGACGTATTATGAGTTGTGAATGTTTGGCCTAGCTCAGGTTCATTTCTGGATAGCACTTTTAACTTAAATTAACCTGTTTCGCTTTATCTACCTTTTGCCTTGGGGCTTTTTCCTCTCCTCTCCTCTCCTCTCCTCCCTTCTCCTCTCCACTCCTCTCCTCCTTTCCTTTCCTTCTGCGTATCTTCCTTTCACTGCTTCTCATGTCTGGCTGGCAGGCAGCCACCTGGCTTCTTGCTCTGAGTGTGTCCTCTCTTTTTCCTCATTGTCTTCTTCTCTTGTTCCTCCCAATCCTAGATCGCCCCTCCTACTTATTCTCTCTGCCCGCAAGCCCCTCCTATCCCTTCTCTGCCCAGTTATAAACTGTTCAGCTCTTTAGTACACCAATCATGTGCCTTAGGCAGGCAAGGTGAAACAGATGCAACACAGCTTTACACAATTAAGCACACGTCAGTACATCCTTCAACAAGTGCAGCATGAACAAAGTGACACACCTTTACACAGTTAAATATTCTGCAGCACAAACAAATGTACCATATCTTTACATAGTTAAGTACTTCACAACAACACGTAGCAATTTGAACCTTAAAAATAAAGCGTGTTAAGATAAATGTAAAAATTACCCAGCACACCTTACTTATAGGCAATTTCCAGGGCAGGAGCTGCCTGGGTGTTTGGAGTAGTAGTGTTGACTGCAAATAGGCCTGAGAGTGCTTTGGGGAGTAATGGGTTGTTATAAGATAGAATTGCATAGATTGCTGTGAAATGGTATGAATTTATGATTTCATTAGAACAGTGTATTTACAAAAGGTGGATTTTTACAGCATATGTGTTTGGTACACCACAATTATCTGTGAGGGGGGAGAGGGAGATGGGACAGAAGAAAGACTAAGAAAGGGAGAAGAAGAAAGAGAAAGATACAGAGAACTTAATTATTCTGGTGTGGTGTGTGTGTGTGTGTGTGTGTGTGTGTGTGTGCAAGCATCATGGAACATATCTGTAACCTCAGTGTGTGTGTGTGTGTGTGTGTGTGTGTGTGTGTGTGTCTGTGTGCAAGCATCATGGAACATATCTGTAATCTCAGCAGTTAAGAAAGTGAAGTGGGAATAAAAAGACCTAGCCGGGACTATATAGTGAGTCTCAGTCTCAAACTCTTGTGTGTGTTGAATATAAGAATCTGTTCTTTTTTTCTTATGTATGTTATGTGGTGTGTATGCATGCATGCATTATGCATGTTTATGTGTGAGAGTGCATGTACAAGCATGGGGCAGTGAACACGCATCTGTAGAGACCCAAGGTTGATATCAGGTGTCTTATTTCCCACCTCATTTGATGAGACAGGGTATCACAACAGAAACTAGAGCTAGCAGATGTTGGCCAGTTCAGTTGGCCAGCTTGCTCTGGTGGGGATGCCCGGCTTCCTTCTCTGGTGTGCTGTGATTACTGACTGGCCACCACTCTCACCTGGCTAGTCTTCTATCTGAGTCCTATAGATGTGAACTCTGGTCCTTAGGCTTGAGCTATAATGCTTTCCCTACTCTGCATCTCTCTAACCTTGAGAGACCAATCTAAACCGATGAAAACAGAGTAAGGAAATTGGGTAAGGGATGCTGTCATGGGTCTGTCCCAGGAGTGCTGTGAGGAGAATGTATAGTGAGCATGCCATCTAAGTCAAGCTATGATTATTGTTTTTATTATATATTTACTATATATATATTTATTATATAATAACTATGTATGTATTAGTGTTATTGTTATAATCATTATTTCTGTTGTAGCCTAGCAAGCATTCCTCCCACTTATTTTCAAGAGCAGTGTTGTTTATTTTTAGAACAATGCTCTCTCTGTATCTCCTTTTTAAATACTTAATAAGACATTTTGGGATCTTGTGTATAAGACAATCCATCCAATAAAGATGTTCTCTCTACTACTATTTTATTTCATATTTATATTTCCATGTGACTTCATTAGAGTATATTTAATTTAGGGAAGGCATTTTCATTCCAGAGACAGGTTGCAAAAGATAGTGATTTGCAGTAAAGACAGAAAATTCTACCACAGGCGTTATATTCTGATAAAATTCATATTATTTTTGAGAAATTGAATGCAGTATGCTGGAGCAAATACCTCTGAAAAACCAATATATATGTTTCCCCTATATCTGTTTGACAATGGATACTGAAAATCTCACTTCAGTGACCTTGTAGGTTTTGAAAGACAAATGTATCTGCTGGTGTGCTCTTTTTTTTTAATGGCTTAGCCAAAAATTATTGCTAAGTTTGAACACCAAAAAAGCAGATTGCTAAATTACATTATGGTTTGGGGGCACACGTGACAGAGACTGATTTGACCTGATTTAAGCCTTCAGAGCAAGACTTCACACAAACAGAAGCACTTGTTGAAATGAATGGAAAATTCCAGTAGTTTTAAATCAATGCATGCTGGGCAATCAGTGTCCCTAATCGCTCCCCAAAATGACCTGCTTAAAGAAACTGAAGAGTGTTACAGTGGAAACAGCCACGCAATCTGTGCTCTCAAAGTGGCGATCACCTTCAGATTTATGCACTTAATTTAAGAGCGCCAATAAATTTAAATTGCTATGTGCGGCCAACAGTAACAGCCAGTTTCCAGAGAATGCCAGTGTTTCTGAAACTCTTTGTCCTGCAGGGTAGGGGCGCCTCCAGGTAGAAGGTTCACAGAGACCGAATCAAAGCACATTCCCTAATTAACAAGAGCAAATGAAACGTGGGCGATACGGCAACACATCTCAGGTTGGTTTTCCCTTTATCTTTCTTTCCCCCTAGCCAAAGGAAGGGCCCGAGCCTCGTCGTTCATCTTTCCTTTGTATCGAAAGCTATGGGGCTTCTGAAGGAGATAAAAATAAGTCTGTCTTTTTAAGTATGGAAACCCCAGGTGAAGCCACACTCAGGCAGTAAAATAGCTCCTTGCTGTCATGAGCAGGGAAGACCCAGGATCAAGACAGATTGCATTAATGGGACCTCGGAAGATCCATAGAATTCTAAGCATTAGCGGAGACCCCTGCAGCCTGGCCTGGGAGTAAAATTCCGGGAATGCAATCTGGGGACAAGAAGCTGAGGCTGTGAGGGACTTGTGTCCAGACACTGACTCTTCTGCAGTCTTTTCTGGGAGAGGCCTTTGCTCAGCTCCCTAGCCTGGCCTCACTTGGCCCTGCCTGTGATGGCCCCACCTTAGATGGCCCTGCCCTCTGAGGCTCCGCCCATGTGGCCGTGTGCATGATCACGTGTGCATGCTTGAGTGCGAAGGCTCAGGTTGATGTTGCAATGCCTTCCTCGATCGTGCTCCACATTAAGAGAAAAATTAAGACAGGACATCTCCCTGTGCAGAGATCATCTGGTGATAAAGATCCTGTCCCCACCCGTGCCAGGACCATAAGCATGAACATCATACCTGAGTGTTTTTGTTTTGTTTTGTTTTTACCAGGGTTCTGGGGATCTGAACTCTGATCCTCATGCTTGCTAGTTCTTGACCCACTAAGACTTTTTGTAGCCTTGTTCCTCTGCCTTCTAAAAAGGGTGGATAATTTTTCACCCGTGACTGGATTCAGAGCCAGATGCCTTCTTTGACAGATTTTTAAAAACGAGTATGTTTTAATGTGTTTTCATACAGTAACTGTCACTTTTAGATGCACACCTTAGTAATGTGTGTGTTCGTATGACTACCAATATGATCAAGAATGTGTATCGTCCAGCAAAGTGTCTCCATGCCTCTCTGTGGTTAGTCTCTCTGACTCTGTCTTAGGTAACCTCTGGTTCGTTTCTGCCTTTGCAGATTTGCTATGTTGGGTTCTTTGGCAAACGAAATAGTAATGACAAGGACTACTGAGGAGGCTAAATTGATTGTTAACTTGACATACCTGAGGCCTCCATCAGATTGGCCCCTGAGAAGCCACTTTCTGATTGCTAATTGATGCGGTAGGGCCTGCCCACTGTGGGTGGAGCCACGCCTGGGCAAGGCGGAGCTGGGTTGTGTAAGGAAGCTGATAAAGCCACCGGAAGGGAAGCGGCACTTCTCCATGGCGTCTGCTTGAGTTCTCCTTTCTAGGGTCCTGCTTGAGTTCCTGCCCTGGCTTCCCTTGGTGATGGACTGTGACATAGAAATGTAAGCCAATCCCAGGCATCAGCCTGGGAATCCAGCATGGGACTGATCAAGACCCCCTGGATCTGGGTGTCAGTGAGGAGGCCTAGGTAATCTATTGAGCCTTGGGCAGCAGATCAGTACCCATCCCAAGTATACACACGGACTTTGGACTCCCATAGAACAATGTGAGGTGCACTCTCACCCTGAACTCTTGGGGAAGGGTCTAGGCCCTGCCCTATATGAAATGACAGACTATGGACACCCCCATGGAGGGCCTCACCCTCCCTGGGGGAATGAGGGGATAACGGGGGGGGTTGGGGGAGGGCACGGGAGGAGGGGAGGGAAAGGGAGAAGGCCCTGGAACTGACTTGTGAAGCAACCTTGTTTCTTATCTAAATTTAAACTGAAAAATAAATAAAAAGAAAGAAAGAAAGAGAAATGTAAGCCAAATCAATTTTTTTTCCTCTCGCATGTAGTTTTTAGCTACTGTTCTATGGCAGAAACAACTTGGGTCAGTGACTTTCCCAGGCTGCTATGAGTTCAATAGAAACCAAACATTAACAGCAGCTCTTAGCTAAAAGAACAGAGAGACTGCCTACCACAGGGGCCCATGGAAGAGCTGGAGGCAGCTTCCGCAGGTCTGACTTTCTTTTGAATTTTATATTTAAGTTATTTATTAATTTAAAAATTCCATTTTATATTCATAGTTGTTGAAGCTATAAAATCGTGTTTTATTTTTGCCATTGTTATGTATGTATTGTTGTTTGTCTGTATGCCATGTTGTACAGATCCCTGTGGAGGCCAGATGGGGGTGTCTGTCCCGCTGGAGTTTCAGGTGATTGGGCGCTGGGAACAGAACAGAGCGTTGAATCTTTTAACCTCAGAGACATCTCTCCAGCCCCTCTAAAATCCCATCTTAAATGTGACGAGTATCCAATAAAAATAATTTTCTCAGAAGGCCTCTGTTCACAGTGTGGCTGCTGCGTATTGACACTGTGCTGAGTGAGGAGCCATTGGGGAGTTGCTGGAGCTTTGGTTTGGGGAGACATCTAAGATGTTTCCCCAGCTGATTGTGCCCCGACTGTCACAGACAGGCTAGCCTGGTAATATGGTACTTCTCACACAGTATCCGGAGAGCACGAAGACTCTGACAAACTTGGATTTTGTGGTTTCAGTCCAAGCAAGGGCTGAAGATCAGCTGCACACCTTACTTGCTTAAGGACTAGCTTGCATATGGAATCTTTATCCTGGCAGAAATATGGTTTCCTTCAATGTTTTTGTTATGGTTAATGTTATAGTTAGGCTCTAATTATTGACCTTGTTGTAGGTGTCAGACACGAGGTAAATATGCAAGGCATTCAACATTTAATTGTAACAGGAGAGAGAAATATTAGTAGAGAGGAATGTTGGCATCTTCATTATGCCAGCAAAGAGGCTGTTCCCTGAGTGGTATTTAGCAGAAACACCTGAGCTCCTCTAAAGCCCCATAACAAGTGTAGTACATTTGCAATCATTGCCGTCCCAATATCCTGACTCAGCAGTTTATCTATAGTTTTAAAAAATGGTACCAAGATAAAGGATGAAAATGAATTTAGTGTATCTTAAAAAATGAGTATGTGTCTGTATGTGTGTGCATGTTTGCATAGTTGTGTGCATGCCTGTGTATGTGTATGCATGTGTGTGGAGGACATATGTTCACCTTTGGTATCACTCTTCAGTTTCTGTCTCCTTGCTTGTTTGAGCTAGGATGTCTCACTGGGATCTACAGGACTCGCTGATTAGGCAAGACTGGCTGGCCAGCTAATCCCAGGGATACTTTTGTTTCCTCTCCCAGCACTGAGATTACAAGTGTGCACCCATGCCTGAATTTTTTATAAGAGTACTGGTGTCTAGCCAGGCTACCTTCCCAGCCCCCAGTGGCTCTTCATTCTGTTAAATGAGGCACTTTAAGCAGGAATTTCTAGGGGTGCTGCCTGTACTTAATCTCTCTTCTCTACCAACTACACCCATTCCCCAACACATCTCGAATCTCTTCTTCAACTTCTCTGCATGGCTGGGGACAGAACAGGATTCTTTTTTTTTTTTTTAAGAAAGTCAGATCTCTGCATATTACAATTGGCTTTGATCTTACAGAGAAAAGAGTCCCTGAAGGGAAATGGATGAATGATGGCCAATGGGGCTGGGCACCAGGGCTCCCCACATTTGTAGCTAATATGGATTTCAATGAAAGCAGAGAGGGTCTGGGTGACTCTTGTTCAAAATGGTGTTACTCTGCTGCAGGCAAATATCCCAGAAATAGACAGAGTGTGGCTGCCATGGAATGCAAAGATGAGGGTGCAGCATGTCCTTGGCTCTGGGGAAGGATCTAGTTTCTACTGGAAACAGCATCTTGGTACATCCCATCTCCCCCAACAGCTCCTTGGTTCCCCATGGAGGGAGGGTGGCTTTTCATTTCGAACAATGCTAATGGAGTCATTCAGGACAGTGTCTTGGAGATAAAAATCTGTCACTCCCTTCTGCATGTTCATTATTTCTACCTGCAGGATGCAAGGAGGCTGCAACATTAAACATTAGAGGATAAGGCTGAATCTGTGTGTGTGTGTGTGTGTGTGTGTGTGTGTGTGTGTATTCGTAACGTTGTGATCAAAATATAAGAAAACCTTTGATCTTAAGAGTTTCTTTCTGTTAAATTTTACTTCCCTGCCCCTCTCTCTGCCTTCAGTTGACCTCTGTATATGCCTTAGTGTGACCAGTTAACAACAAGGACCAAGTTAACAACAACCTGAGATACATACGAGGGCTGAACTCAGCCTGGAAATGAACCAGAGTGCTGCTAACTGTTCAGTAATTCAAACAGAAGAGTGGTGTTCTGTTGACATGGCAATTTAAAATTATGCTAACTCAGGACTTCGCCAGCTGGGTCCTGGTTCCAGTGACACACCTGGATAAGTGCATCAGAGCCACCAACCTTGAGCAAAGAGAACGCAAACTATTTTAGAAAGGTAGAATTCTCCGACAAACAATCACAAATGGAAGATGCCAGCTGTTGGTGATGACTGCACATTCCGGGGTAATGTCAGAGGTGTGGTAGCACCTTGCACCTCCATGAGCTCTGCTGTCATTCAAAGAGGAGGTGTCTCCTGAGTTGATCAGCCAGGGCAGGGGCAGGCATCCTGTGTTTTCACTTTAGTATTTGAATATCTGAAGGCCTTTCCTAATACCTGGACTCAGCATCTCTTTGTTGACAATTAAGATGTTGATAGTTAAGTCCTCGGGGCTCATAGGCCTCTTTTTTCCACAGTTTTCTAAATTCAAATGACAATAGAATTTGCAAATTTTGGGCTGCCTGGTAACTGTATTGGAATAATTTTATTTGCTCTTATACAGGACTTCATTTCTATTCCATCCCCTGTGTTAACAAGGCTATTTATTTGAGTGCCCATTGTAATTATTAATCTTTTTTGTAAGACTTAGTGTATGTGTGTGTATCTCTATGTTGGTATGTGCATTTGCATGCAAGTGCCCAAGAAGGCTAGACCATGTCAAATATCCTAGACCTGGAGATATGGGCAATTGTGAGCTTCCAGGTGTGGGTTCTAGAACCCAAACTTGGGTCCTATGCCAGAGCGGTGTGTACTCATTTCCAGTGAGTCATCCCTCTGACCTGAGGTGATTAATCTTGATCATCCACATAACTGGATAAGGAACACCTTAGAGACTCATAAAGCACACTTCTGAGTGTGTCAGACCCAGTGACAAAAGGTATAGTGATTGATGAGGACAGACTGACCTGAGTGGAGGTGACGTTATTCAACAGGCAGGGACCACAGGGACCAACCCAGTGCGCAAGAGTTCACACTGAGCCTTTGCTAGCCCCTGTAGACATTAGACTGCAGCTTCAGCTCTTTGGTCCTCACCAGAGCCCATGCAAGGATCTTCCAGGCCTTAGCCTTGGACTCCGGTACCATTTTTGGTTTCTTTAATTGGGGTGTGGGAGTCTTCCAGATTCTTAGATCTCCAGCATCTAGGCAGCTATGGTTAGACTATCCAGAGAACAGCCATGAAAGCCAATCGAATCAACCCACTTTCTTTTACTCATAGAATCCACCACACACATGCCCATACACACACACACACACACACACACACACACACACACACACACACGTCTCTGTATGCATTATTATTCTATTGGGTTTGTTCAATAGAGTATTCTGACTCATGCAACCATCACGACCTTGTGGCTGCTTTGCCAACCACCATCCTCATATCCCTCCCTTTACAATCAGAATTTACTCAGATAAAGCATGAACCTGAGCTCCTTATAATCTTGTTTTTTGCCCTGTACTATAATGTAAGCTGTCCTAGAATGCAAATAAAAGTCACTGAAATCAATGATAGGCCTCTGTGAAGGCCAGAGAAAAGACATCCATGGCCAGGGAGGTAGGGAGGATCACCAATTTTGGAGGCTTGTCTCTTGAGCTTTGGGTTTTCATGACTTCCTCGTTGACCTTTTTATGTTGTCCTCTTACAGTGTTGTGCTCTATTGAAAATATAGCCAACTAGCTGTGATATTTGGTCTGGTATTGTGATCCCTCTAGACTTCTGTTTCCTCAAAAAAAATCAGACTTTGAAAGAGGCAGTCAAGTGGATGAGGAGGCAATCTGGAGTCAGGTAGAAGATTTGCACTTGTCTATTGTGTGAAATACACATAAATACTGTGCATTTGCAGCCATCTAATACCTGCTCCTCAACATCAGAGGTAGCTTGTCCTGGTGCCTGTGTGAAATGCAGAATCTCAGGTTCCATCCCAGACTAGCTCATCAACCTCTACTCTCCAAAGTCTCTTCTCCCAGAATCACAGGATTGGAGACACACTGACTTTATAATATTTTTCATATTCTCAAGGCTGTGACATATCTGGAAAAGGCAACCCCTGACAGAAGGGTTTATTGGATCACAGTTGTGGAGTACAGTCCTTCCAGGAAGGAAATCAAAGCAACAGAACTGCACAGCCAGCCAGGAAGCAGAGAGAGGCAAATGCTGGGGCTCAGCCCTTCTTTCTCCAGTTTAGTAAGTCTAGAAACCCAGATCCTGGAGTGGAACCACTCACATTTAGGGTGAGTCTGTTCACTCCAATTAACCTAATCTAAAAACTCACCCACAGACATGCCCAAAGGTTTGTTTCCATGGTGATTCTAGACCTCATACAGTTGCCATCATTATTAATCATCACATTTAATTTAATGGTACTCAGGTGTGGCCTAAGATGAGCAAATTATCAGTTGTGCCCTTATTGGAAAAACAAAGGCAAGGTCCCCAAGATCTTCAGGATCAAGGTCTAAGGAAGAGGGTTTATGGCTCAGCGCTGCCTTTAGGTGAACATCACCAATTTTGTCAATTGAGAGCTTCAATCACTTCCTTATCACCAGTAGAACAGAAAACAAAAAAAGTACCTATCTTGAGTTTTTTGTGACAAAACTCTAGGCTAGGATATGATAGAACACAGCAGGACAGAATTAGTGAATGTGGTGTGTGTGTGTGTGTGTGTGTGTGTGTGTGTGTGTAGCAAACATGGTGTACTGTGAAAAGCGAAACATAAGCAGAAACAAGGGAATTTGGAGCAGTCTTTATCTTTCCCCCTGTATCAGTGGAAGGTGGCACTGGATAACCTGGGTAAAATGGAATTTGTAGGATGGATATGGCATAAGTCAAACCTCTAGTATTTAGAAAGGGGACTCACCAGGAAATCTCCTGGGATCCAGAACAGTTGTGGCAGCTGATAAATGGTTTCTCCATGCCAAGACATCTTATTGGGATGAACTAAAATTTTGGTAATGAAATTTCCAGGTAGGTTTGGGTCATTAGAAGGATGAGGCACCTGTTTTGTGTGATGGGGATGGATGAGTTTCCCGAAGGAAATCTGCTATTCCTAAGAAATGTGAGCAGCAAAGGGA